ATATAATATTCTCTATCTCTATGGATTTACCTGTTCAGGACATTTCATATAAATGGAATCATCTAATATGTGGCCTTTCATGTTTGTCTTCTTTCACTTAACGTAATATTTTCAGTGTTCATCATGTATCAGTATTTCATTGTTTTTTATTGCCAAATGGTATCCTGTTACATGGATATACTACATTTTCTTTTTCTGTTCATCAGTTAAGAGACATTTAGATTGTTTCCACCTTTTTTGTATTATAAATAGTTTGGCTGTGAACATTGTGCACAAGTTTTATGTGGACATATGTTTTCGGTTCTCTTGTGTATACCTGGGAGTGGAATTGCTGGGTCATATGTTAAATGCTATACTTAACGTTTTGAAGAACTCTCAAATCATTTCCCAAAGCAGTTGTAACAATTTATAATCCCACTAGTAATGTATGTGGGTTTCAATTTCTCTACATCTTTTCTAACACTGGTTATTGTCTGCCTTTTTATTTTCCCCATTCTAGGGATGTGAAGTTGTATCTCATTGTGGTTTTAATTTGCATTTCCCTAATGACCAGTGATGGTGCGCATCTTTTCATGTGTTTGTTGGCCATTTGTAGATCATCTTTGGACAAATGTCTATTGAAATCCTTGGCCCACTTTTAAATTGGGTTGTCTTTTTATTCTTTTTATTTTTTTTCCTTTGAGACTGGGTTTCGCTGTCACCCAGTCTGGAGTGCAGTGGCATGATCTCGGTTCACTGCAACATCTGCCTCCTGGGTTCAAACAATTCTCATGCCTCAGCTTCCTAAGTAGCTGGGACAGCATGTGCGCATGAGCCACCATGTCTGGCTAATTCTTGCGTTTATAGTAGAGTTTGGGTTTTACCATGTTGGCCAGGCTGGTCTTAAACTCCTGACCTCAAGTGATCCTCCTGCCTTGGCCTCCCAAAGTGCTGGGATTATAGGCGTGAGCCACCATGCCTGGCCTATTCTTGAGTTGTAAGAGTTTGTTTGTTTGAGACAGTCACCCAGGCTGGAGTGCAGTAACATGATCTCCACTCACCGCAACCTCCACTTCCTGGGTTCAAGCGATTTCCCTGCCTCAGCCTCCCCAGCAGAGAAGGGGTTTTGCCATGTTGCCCAAACGGGTCTCGAACTCGTAAGCTCAAGCCATCCACCCGCCTCAGCCTCCCAAAGTGCTGGGATTACAGGCATGAGCCACCCTGCCCAGCCAAGTTGCAAGAGTTCTTCACACATTTTGGATACAAGGCCTTTATAAGATATGATTTTCAAATATTTTCTTCCATCCGTGGGTTGTCTCTTCTCTTTCTTTGATGATGGCCTTTGAAACATAAAAGTTTTAAATTTTGATGCAGTCTAATTTGGTTTTTTTTCTTCTGGTTATTTTTGGTGTTTCTGGTGTCATATCTAAGAAACGATTCCCTAATCCAAAGTCATGAAGATTTATACCTATGTGTTCTTCTAAGTATTTTTGACTTTTAGCTCTGCTATTTAGAACTTTTATCTGTCTTCAGTTATTTTGTATATATGGTGTAAGGCAGGGGTCCATATTCATTTTTTTTGCATGTGCATATCCATTTGTCCTAGCACCATTTTTTGAAAGGAATATTTTCCCCCTCATTTTATTATCTTGGCTTTTTTGTTGAAATGGTCAATTGATTTTCAGCCATATTCTATTGATCTATATGCCTAACCTTACACTAACAACACAGTATTTTTATTATTGTACCTTTGTCGTAAATTTTGAAATCAGAAAGTGTGAGTGTTCCAACTTTGTTTTTTTCCCCCAAGATCATTTAGCTATTATGGGTCCCTTGTATTTCCATATTAATTTTAAAATCAGTTTGGATTTTGATAGGAATGACATTGAATTTGTAAATCAATTAGGGAGTATTGCTGTCTTAACCATATTAAGTCTTCTGATCCATGAACATGGAAGGTTTTTCCATTTATTTGAATTTTATTTTTTTCATCAATGTTTTGTGGTTTTTAGGGTCAAGTCTTATATTTAACTTTTTAAAACTGTATTCCTAAGTATTTTATTCCTTTTGGTTTTATTCTAAATGGAATCTTTCTTAATTTCATTTTTGGATTGTTCATTGCTAGTGTATAGATATACAATTGATATTTATATATTGATATTGTATCTTACAATCTGCTGAATTCAAGTATTAGTTCTAATAATTATTTTTGTGACTTCTTTAAGATTTTCTCTCCGCAACAAACATGTCATCTGCAGATATCGTTTTCCTTCTTCCTTTCTAATATCAATGCCTTTTATTTCTTTTTCTTGCCTACTTGCCCTAGCTAAATCAACGTCGAATAGACATGCTAGAAGTGGACATCCTTGTCTTGTTCCTGATCTTAGGGGTAGAGCAGTCAGTCTTTGACCTTTAAGTATGAAGTTAGCTGTGGGAAACAGATTGTTTGAAAGGACCTTTAAAGCTTATTTATTCACTTTCATTACTTAAAAGCTGTCTATCAGACATTATGGTAGAATACTGGTTAGTTGGACATATGCAAAAGCAAATTCTCTGAAATAGGAAGTATATCATAACTAGTTAGAGGTTTATTGCAGTAACCCAGGAAAGGATGATAGTGTACTGGATAGTATCACGGCAGCAGAGACGGAGATAAGTGAAGAGATTCCAAAGAGATTTAGGAGGTGTAATTGCATGTTAGAGGAAGACGGGGCAAGGATGATTCCTAGATTTTTGTCTAGGTGGATGATGATTTGGGGAATACGGAGAAATAGTTGGGAAAAGGTAATGAATTTTATTTTGGAGATACTGAGTTTGAGGTGCTTGGAACATATCCAACTGGGTATTTCCCATAAGTAATTGGATTTGATGTTTAGAGTGCAGAAAAAAAGGTCTGGGCTAGATCTCTATGGTAGCTATAGATGTTATATGGTTATTGAAGACATGGTAAGGGATAAAACTCCTTCATTCAACATATAGGCATTTACCAGTTCACAGTATACACTTAGAGATGGCACATAGAACTCATCTTACTCTGTTCTCCAAAACACTTCTGACTCTCCTCTATCTTGCCTTTTTTCCTGCCTTCCCTTCTCTTACCCTCCCCTCACACCAAAACAGAAATTTCACATAACTTAATGAAGAGGTAGTAATGTGTATTATAAGAGTATTACCATTAGTTTCTTATCCTTCACTTAAATATTGATGTTAGCAAGATTTCTTCATGCAAAGGTAACATCGTACCCCAATATTTGTTTCAATTTTAGTGTCTTAAAGACTTTTCTACATGATCCTCTTGTGGAGTGGAGTAAACCAGTGAAAGGGCATTCCAAAGCACCACTGAATGAAACTGGAGAAGTTGTCAATGAAAAGGTTAGTAGAAGGTATAGCTTGATACGGGCTGTAGTCCTCATCTCTACAAATGAACTTGATATGCAGCTATCGTTCTCATCTCTATGCATGAGAACTGCTTGGAAATACTGTTAGTGACTATTGATTACTCTGAAATCTAGTTCTTTAGTATCACATTGCCATAAGTTTTCTTTTTGTCACTAATGTTAACAGTATTCTCATTTGTATAATAAAACTGTTCATAGCACACTTGTTTAACCATAGACAATTCACAGTTATGAGATATAGTAGGAAAAACTTAAGTACAAATTGCCTGAACTTACAGAACAATAGGTCTGAGCTTTAATATCATACGAGTACGTCACAAGCTATGTTAACAAATGCAGCAATTCACTTCTTACTTAGTTGAAGCTGCAAAGTTTGCAGATAGTTTTGTTGTTGTTGTTGTTGTTGTTGTTGTTGTTGAGACAAAGTCTTGCTCTGTCATCCAGGCTGGAGCACAGTGGCACAATCTTGGCTCACTGCAACCTCTGCCTCCCCTGTTCAAGCAGTTCTCCTGCCTTAGCCTCCCAAATAGCTGGGACTACAAGCATGCACCACCACAGCCGGCTAATTATTATATTTTTAGTAGAGATGGGTTTCACCGTGTTGGCTAGGCTGGTCTTGAACCTCTGGTCTCAAGTGATCCACCCACCTCAGCATCCCAAAATGCAGGGATTATAGGCATAAGCCACTGCACCTAGCTCAGATAGTTGTTTTTAATAAGTTAGAATAAATTGAGGATTATTTTTGGCGGGGAGGCCACTCTTACATCTTTAACAAGTCTTGGCCGGGCGCGGTGGCTCAAACCTGTAATCCCAGCACTTTGGGAGGCCGAGACAGGCGGATCACGAGGTCAGGAAATTGAGACCATCCTGGCTAACATGGTGAAACCCCATCTCTACTAAAAAAAATACAAAAAACTAGCCGGGCAAGGTGGCGGGCGCCTGTAGTCCGAGCCACTCGGGAAGCTGAGGCAGGAGAATGGCGTAAACCTGGGAGGCGGAGCTTGCGGTGAGCTGAGGTCCGGCCACTGCACTTCAGCCTGGGCGACAGAGCAAGACTCTGTCTCAAAAAAAAAAAAAGTCTTGTACAGGCTTACTAAATACAATGAATTATACCAACTATACTCTAATAAAGAGTAAAAATTTACATTCCAGTTAACTACCTTAAGAGTTTAAATCCACTTTCATCCCACTGATATAGCTTGAGGAAGGCTAGACCCATACGCCCCCATCCTTCATGTCGTCCTTAACCCTTTGTCTTGAGAAAGGAGGTTTAGCTGCTTCTTTAGTTCTTCAATTTCTTTTTCTTGCTCTATTATCTTCATCTGTAGGGTGAGATTAATATTTCCAGAATTTTGGAAAAGTTCACTCTGTAGCAGTTGAAGAGCAGATGGTCTCTGGGACATGTTCCTTTTCATTAAGTGCTAGATATACTTGGCTTGTAGTGGATACCTTTTACTGAGGGATTCCAGTATCTGACCAGTTCTTGAACCTGTTAAAACTTCTGCTTGCTCCATTTCTGTTCTAAACAGCTGAAAGAGCTCTAGCAGAATCACACTCAAGCTATATACATATCTAACTGGACAAAGCCAGCCCTGGTCTCTACAAATAGTTTTTTTTTAATTAGCCGGGTACAGTGGCACACTGCTGTAGTCCCAACTACTTGGGAGGCTGAGGTGGGAGGATCACTTGACCCCAGGAGTTGGAGGCTGCTGTGAGCTATGATGACCCCACTGCACTCCAGCCTGGGCAAGAATGAGACCCTTGGCATCATACTCAGATCCTTCCAACTGTTGGGATGAAGCATACAGAAAAGTGCCCACTCTGGATATATGTGTTGGTGTTCTCTTTCCGTTTCTATTGGTCCAGTCTGTGTTCTTTTGTAAGATGTCTGGGCAAGCCAGACCAAAGTCTCCTATTTTTACTTGCTGATCAGAGCCATGAAGAAAAGTATTTCTAGGCTTCAGATCTCTGTTTACAATTCCCATGTTATGTATGTAAAACACACCTTCCACTAATTCTTGAAAATTTTTTGTTGCAACACTGGCCATAAGGACAAGCAAACTTATCCACACACTCTTGGCCCTGTTTGTTTCTCTCGGCTAGCCAGTCCCACAGGTGGAGTTGCACACCTGCATCTGGATGTGCAGCATCAGGTGGTACTGCACCTCTATCCCCAACAAGTTGAAGTTTTCTTTGGAAGATTCCTCAGTGGATGTGAAATTCTCCTCTTGGAGGGAATTACAGCTGAGCAGCAGGGGCTGTTCCACAACTGACCTGGTGGACAAACCCGCCAAGCCATTTTCCGGGAGCTCCAGGGATGATTCAAATTCACTGGTGTCTCTTAAGATGGAATTGATGGTATAGTTCACCAGCTTGTTATTCTGATTTTGAGTGTCAGATTCTCCAAAGGGTTTTTCTTTTCTGAGGTGAGCTTAGTGAAGATAATGGATGACCTGCTACTTTCACCATTTTTAACACCATATTGGTATCTGTCCTCTGCTTGGTCGGAGAACACTTCCAGAAATGGCAACTGAATGGAAGCTCTATCTGCTTGTGGTTGGATCACTTGAACATGTTCTGTCCACGCAGTGTGATAACCAATGATATTAGGGTGCTGGACTGCCAGCACCTTCATTCCTCATAGTTCCTTCATGCAATCTTAGTTGCACCCTTAATCAGGATTTTTTAAATTGCATAATACTGACCATCTAATTTATTCCTGACCTTGTATACTCTTCCATATCCACCTTTTCCTAAGATGGCAAGTTTTTCAAATTCATTTAAGTAACATGAAGTTTGTGCTTCAAAGGCTACTTCCCTTGATCTGATTTTTCTGGATATGAGAAATAGCCTCACAAGGATCCTGATGAACTCTCTCTTTAGTGGACTTCATTAAGTGAGTAATAGCTCTGTGGTGATGTAGTCTCAATGAGCTAAACTCGTCACAAGTGAAAGAACACAGCAGACCCATTAGGATAAAGATCTGGCAAAGTAACTTAAACACCTGTCTTAAATGAACTGGGTTTGGTTCATGCACATGGCTCAAGTGCTTCACCAAAGAAATAAGCAGGATGTAGGGGTTCTTTTAAACACCTGGAGTTCTGCTGGAACATAAGTCACATTTGGAGTCCAGGCTCTTGGCGGAAGAGTCGATGGCAGACAGCACAGCAACAGCCCCCATCCCGTGGCCCTCCTCTTTGCATTCGCGGGCTGCAGCCCAGCCCACCGGCCCACCCAGCACCACTTCCAAGAATTATTCTCATAATAACTTTATTCTTCCTTTTGCATTCAGATATGCTTAAGAAATTGTACCCAAGTAGCTCACTTAGAACACCCATTTGTGTGTACTAACATCATGTAAATATTAGGCAGTAGATCATTGTTATTCAAATATTCATTCAAATGTTTAAGTACTAAACACTTCCAAAGCAGATTTTAAAAATTATTTTTCCAGAATTGTAATGTGTAAATAATTCCCTGATATTTCACGTAGTCCAGAAACATGTCCAAGCAGTTGATGTTGAATCAATCTTGCAGGCCTCAAAATCAGTATCACAAGTTAACTGTATTTGTTCGCTTCTTTTCCTGTATTTGCTCTTACAAAAGGGGTATTGGTCAGTAAAATGGTATTAACATTTATTAAATGTCAAAATATAAAGAAAGGTAGTAATTCCAAATTATCAACATCTGTTTTTGGTTTTATATTTCTTCTTTTTAGGCCAAGACCCATGTTCTTGACATTGAGCAGCGACTACAAGGTGTAATCAAGACTCGAAATAGAGTGACAGGACTGCCATTATCTATTGAAGGACATGTGCATTACCTTATACAAGAAGCTACTGATGAAAACTTACTATGCCAGATGTATCTTGGTTGGACCCCATATATGTGAAATGAAATTATGTAAAAGAATATGTTAATCTAAAAGTAATGCATTTGGTATGAATCTGTGGTTGTATCTGTTCAATTCTAAAGTACAACATAAATTTACGTTCTCAGAGCAACTGTTATTTCTCTCTGATCATTAATTATATGTAAAATAACATTCAGTTATTAAGAAATAAACTGCTTTCTTAATACATACTGTGCATTATAATTGGAGAAATGGAATATCATGTGTTCTTATGGTCAAAAACTGTATTTGCAAGAAACAAGCAAGCCTAACCTAATTTCATTTTACAACTTCTATTGATTTCCTTTTAAAAGTCCTAGCTATTGTAAGGATTCACTTGAAGAACAAAATTATATGGAATAAATACCGTGGGCAAGGCATTGCGCCAGACTTGTGCATAGAGTTACCCTCTCCTGCCCTCCAGGAAGTGACAGTCTAGTAAGAGAGATATATAAATATAAATATAAATAGCATATCATTAAGTTCACTTAATATAACTTTGTTTTAAAGTGTGATAGGGAAAAAATATAAGCCAAGAAGCGTGAATATGAAAACAAAATAAACATTCTGTAATTTGTATGATGCTGCCATACTGCAGTCCCAGAATGCAGAATCCAGTGGTCATGAAAGACAGCGATACTTAGCATTTTCTGAGATCTTAAAATCCAAAAAGTATTAAATGTTTAAGGTTTTTCTGTAAGTTTTCATTCAGAAGACAAATACAAAGTAACGAGGTTACTACCTTCAAATAAGTGGAAAACTCTTACATTTAAAACTGATAATTTCACTTAAATTGATAGAACTCTCCTTTGCTGTCCAGTTGAAAGTGTGATGGAGAAAAATATGATAAACGCGGACGCATGAATGTAAAAACTAAACATTAAATGATTTCGTATCCAAGGTCTTATGTTAACAGTTGCGGGGGGCGGGTACTTGGGAAATTTTTGAACAATTTGGAAAAGAACGTTTTTAAAAAAACTTTACCGTGGGTTTAAATTCCTCAGAGAAAAAAATTCTTGGCAAAACAAACTAAGCCAAATAAATCATCATTCCAAATCTGAAAAATACTGAGATTAGCAACCCTAGGAGACAGAAGCGTAACAAAAATCAGTGTTCGATACCCTTCCCACACCTTCGTGCGGTTTTTATGCCAATTCCAAATCCACTTAGAAAGCATAGCTCTATCCTGGGGCATTTTCGCACCTACATGGAAGCACACGAGCAAACCTCCGCAGATCCCCCGACCGCCACTGATCAGTACCGTGGCCCCGGCTGCGCGAGGCCAGGCGGGCTAAGCCCCGCCCCTGGGACGGCCTCGGATCCTGCCGCTCTAGGCCCAGCGGGCGCTCTCTATGGTCGGCCGGGCGGTGTGTTGTCATCCGCGGAGCGACGGCCGGAGGCGGCGGCGGAGCCCCGGCGGGGCGTTTGGTTTCGGTTTGGCCCTGACTGGGATTAGTGTTGACGGTCGAAATGGGAGTCCCCAAGTTTTACCGATGGATCTCAGAGCGGTATCCCTGCCTCAGCGAAGTGGTGAAAGAGCATCAGGTGGGTGAGCGAGGGGCAACGGCTCAGAAGGCCGAGGACCCGGGGCTCAGCGGCCCTCTCCACCCTGGAGCTGCGGCTTTCGGGCCACCTCTTTCCCCTCGTCGTCTGGACGATAAGTGGCATAGGGAGGGGGACGGAAGGTTTGAGGACGCCCGGATGAGCCGAAAGGGGCCAAGGAGGCAGGTTGCCTGTGTGTGGACAGAGCCATTGGGTTCACGGCCGCTCTGACAGCTCCTGCTTCGGCTGGTCCTTCCGCGATTCCGAAATGAAGTCCTGGGAAAGAACGCTTTTACCGTTCTCCGGTTTCCTCTCGGGAACCTGCAAGTTGCCTTTTTCTTACAGAGGCTGCGAAGCTGGGGTGGGTGTCCTCGTAGGTTCCCCCATCCCACCCAGAGCGGCAGACCCACGTACAAACAATAACAGCCGCCTCCACACGCAGTCACCTTGTTTACTTTACCTGATGTAAAGCGCTGTCCACCCGCCCCCCGGCGCCTAGACTTTCCGACGTGGCTGACGGTTCATATTGATGATGCCTTTTGTTACTTTCTGTTATCTCAAAAGCACCACCAATCCTCCATTGCCAAAACAAAAACTCTTGGGCGGGCTGGGGAGTGAGGCGTAGGACCTTTTATTTGGAGGCCTCACTGTGTGACAGAGGGGGGTGGGAAACGAATTGATAGAACATTAATACTACTAATAATATTTGGCATGTACTGACCCCAGGGCAACGTTAGTGTTTAGATTCCAAAAACGTAGTTTATATATTGGAACTGTGGAAAGAGAGGAGAAAGCAGCCCTCTCTTAGGTAAACTAGACTTTGGGTAATACTTTGGTGTTTGTCACATTTAATGAATTTGATAGATCTCTTGTCTGATGTTTTACAGAAAAAAAAATAAGTTTGAAATTTGTGTAGCTGATTGAATCAGTCGTGATGGGTAGTGTTGTAAATAGCCTATTAAATTGTGGTTTAATCGGTATTTACGAACATGAAGGTAGTTTACTTCTGGAAAGGATTTTTTGTTGCTGGATTCCAATCAGATTTGGTAGATGAGAAATAGACTACAAAAACTTTCCAAGGTTAGTTTATCTTGAATTTATTTGAAACTTTGATTGAGTTAGATTTAGAGAGGTATTTTTTTTTTCCCCCGGGGAGGACTGAAAAGGAAACCAGTACATTGCAAAAATGGAGACAACCAACTTTGGCTTTTCTTGCATCCTTCAATGAGTACCTGTTACACATCAGTCACTTTATCTCTAAAGTGCAAAAATAATGCGATGGTTATTCGGGATGATTTAATACATAATTTATTCAGTAATATTTTTATTCTGTAGTCTGTGGCACAGAATTTGGTTTGGTGAAAATATCTTAGATTCTCTCCATACTGAGGAATTTTGTTACTGAAGAATGAAAATCTTTTTAATGCAGTTTTATGACATGGACACTAAAGATAGGTTTTGTGAAAGCTTTATATAGAAACTGGGAGGACAATTATTTTTAAATTTCACTGTAAACAAATTTTAAAATTTGGTTCATCGTTGTGATGCCTTTCAAAAATGTTTGATTAAAAAGAGACCAAAGGGTTACCAGCTTCTCTGTTAAGTAGAACTTAAAGATGGTAATGCCTAATAAGTCACAGACATTGAAAAGCTAGTCCTGAGGGGAAAGGATAGGGAGAAGAAGTGAGTTACGGGAAGTCAGTGGTGTGGCCTCAGTAGCATAGGTTTTCAGTTTCTTTGAATCATCTTGTAAAAACAGAAAGAGAAACTAGAAACCAAAGTTTAAAATCCATAAAACAATTACAACAAACCATGTGACTTGCTATCCCCGTGAAACCCAAAACATAACTAGGTGAGGCAAACTATCAATAGTCTCTAGACACAGTTGATATTGACATCTCTGCAAAAGCGAGAAGGCAACAATGGGACAACATCTGATGAACCTTAGAAAAGGAGAATTCCAGAATAGCCAACAGTATCGACTAAAAGACTATGCTGGCCAATTAGATAGCAGTAGCTCAGAGGTATTTTATTCTCTCCATTATTGATTGGGTGAAGGTCTACCATAAGAAAGATCAATTAGGCAGGAGTAGTTTACCTCCTGTGAACATTCAAAACTGACTTGCCAAGGTGCCATCCTAGACCAGACCCCTAAGGAAAAGGGAGTGGTATAAAATCTTATGAAAATTTTATGCTGGGAGTGGAATAAAATTTTATGAAAGGGACAAAATAGAGACAAGAAGAGGAGATAGTCCATATAAAAGTGAGGCAAAGTCATAGAATCAAGAAATCTTAGAAAACCACAGAGCAAACCCATGTATTTTTTAACACTGCCCACAAACAGCTTTGTGAACTTATATTCCCTGAACCTACTCATTCTAAAAGTTCAAGAAAATTAAATTCACATAAAAATGAGTTACAGAAACGTATTGAGATCAAATCACAAAGTTATTATACGAGAAAAAGGGACAGAATATCTCTCCAGACATAAAAACTTGCAGTGAAACAAATGCACACAAAATAGACCAAAATTATAACCACAACTGTTATTTATTTCACAATGAGTTCAAAGGCATTAAGAAAATGACATGAGACATGAAAGAACAACATATATCAATTATGAAGATGTGGGAATGAGATGACAGAGAAAATTAGAAGTAAATGAAAAAAAGAATTTCAGAGCTGAAGCCTCAAATAGAAACAAGACAAGAGCAAAAGATGCCATTTAAGAAAACAATCGGCGGTGGAAAGATGACATTTTAAAAAATAGAGTAGATTTAAAAGATTCAAGAAAAAGTAACAATAAGAAAGATGAGCAAAGAAGACAAATAATAGAGGCGCCTGAAAAAGAAAAAAAACAAAGCAGCATAACAGAATGAGTACTCAGTAAATATTTTTTGAGTGAGTTAATTTATTAGCTATAGCATATAGCATATAAAATGTATATAGAAATGCATATTAAAATAGACATGATAGTATGTTGTAAAACGGTATTTTTTTAAAAAATGAAATGAAGCCTGAGATTTTTTATTTTGTTTATTTTTTATTTTTGTGATACATGGTAAGTGTATGTATTTATGGGGTTCATGAGATGTTTTCATACAGGCAGGCAGTGTGTAATAATCACATCATGGAGAATGGAGAATCCATCCCCTCAAGTATTTATCCTTTGTGTTACAATCTAATTATACGCTTTTAGTTGTTTTTAAATTATTGGCTATAGTCACCCTGTTGCGCTATCACATAGTAGGTCTTATTCATTCTTTTTTTTTATTTTTTATTTTGGATACAAGGTCGTGCTCTGTCACCCCGGCTGGAGTACAGTGGTGCAATCTTGGCTCACTGCAACCCCTACCTCCCCAGTTCAAGCGATTCTTGTGCCTCAGTAGCATAGGTTTTCAGTTTCTTTGAATCATCTTGTAAAAACAGAAAGAGAAACTAGAAACCAAAGTTTTTGTATAGAAACTGGGAGGAGAATTAATTTTAAATTTCACTGTAAATAAATTTTGAAATTTGGTTCATCGTTGTGATGCCTTTCAAAAATATTTGATTAAAAAGAGACAAACGGCGTGTGCCACCACACCGAGCTAATTTTTGTGTTTTTGGTAGACATGGAGTTTCGCTGTGTTGGCCAGGTTCTTCTCCAACTCCTGGTGGCCTCAAGTGATCCGCCCACCTTAGCCTCCCAAAGTGTTTGGATTACAGGCATGAGCCACCGTGCCTGGCCTGTGTTTTTTTGTTTTGTTTGTTTGTTTGTTTTAATTTAAATCTTTTTAAAAATAGAGATGGGGTTTTGCCACGTTGCCCACGCTGGTCTTAAACTACTGGGCTCAAGTGATCTGCCCGCCTCGGCCTCCCAAAGTGCTGGGATTATAGGTGTGAGCCACCGCACCCAGCCGAGGTCTTATTCATTCTTTCAGTTTTTCTTTTATACCCATTAACCTTTCCCACCTCTCCCCTGACTCCCCCACTACCCTTCCCAGCCTCTAGGAACCATCTTTCTATTCTCTATGTCCATGAGTTCTACTGTTTTGATTTTTAGATCCCATTAATAAGTGAGAACATGCAATGTTTGTCTTTCTGTGCTGGACTTATTTTACTTGACATAATGATTGCCATTTCCACCCATGTGGTTGCAGATGACAGGCTCTCATTCCTTCTTATGGCTGAATAGTACTCCATTGTATATATGTACCACATTTTCTTTATCCGTTCATTTGTTGATGGACACTTAGGTTGCTTCCAAATCTTGGCTATTGTGAACAGTACAGCAGCAAACAAAAGAGTGCAGATATCTCTGCGATATACTGGTTTCCTCTCTTTGGGTTATATTAACACAGCAGTGGGATTGCTGGGATCATATGGTAGCTCTATTGTTTAGTTTTTTGAGGAACCTTCAAACTGTTCTTCATAGTGGTTGTACTAAATACATTCCTGCCAACAGTGTATGAGGGTCCCGTTTTCTCCACATCCTTGCTAGCATTTGTTGTTGCCTGTCTTTTGAATATAAGCCATTTTAACTGGGGTAAGATGATATCTCATTGTAGTTTTGATTTGCATTTCTCTGATAATCAGTGATGTTGATCACCTTGTCATGTGTCTGTCATTTGTATATCCTTTTTTGAGAAACGTCTGTTCAGATCTTTTGCCCATTTTTGATTGGATTATTAGATTTTGTCCTATAGAGTTATTGGAGCTCGTTCTATATTCTGATTATTAACCCCTTGTCAGGTGAGTAGTTTGCAAATACATTTCTCCCATTCCGTGGGTTGTCTCTTCACTTTGCTGATTGTTTTCTTTGCTGTACAGAAGCTTTTTAACTTAATGGGATCCGATTTCTCCATTTTTGCTTCAGTTTCCTACGCTTGTGGGATATTACTTGAGACATTTTTGCCCAGACCAATATCCTAGAGATTTTCTTCAATGTTTTCTTGTAGTAGCTTGTAAAGATACATAGAAAGAGGAAAGAATATACAGTCGGTGGGGAAAACAGTAGCCAAATCATGCAGGACCTTTTATGCTATTAAGGATTTGTAGTATCTTGTGGATTTAAGTGAGCAAGCAATGTGATCAGATTATGTTTTAGAAAAATAGCTAAACTGTGGTGAGAGAGGAAACTGGAAGCAAGCAGTTCTGTTGGGAAACTGAGGGTCATGGACCAGTGCAGGAGATCTGGGGATGGAGAACAGGATGAGATTACCTAAGACAGTGGAAGTGGATAAGATGGTAAGATTCTAGAAACATTTTAGATGTTAAATTAAAAAGAAAAATACCTCAGTGACTAATTAGATATGGGATTGGAGAAGGCAGAAAGTATAAAATAACTTTGAAATTTCTCACTTGCAAATGTAATTTCTCTGAGAAGAGAAACTACATTATCAGTAATCTCTTTGTATGGGAGCAAAATTCTACTATATGTTCTCACTTTATTCAACACATTGGCCAATGATTAATTATTCTTTGTCTTTTTTACTAATCTGAAACCTAAGAGAATTTTTCAAATATTTCTTTTCTAAAAGGAAAATTATAGTGGGGTATTTTTTAGATTATAAAGGTAATATATGCTCATTATTTTTTAAAAATCAGATAATGCAGAAAGATATAAAAACTATTACATAGTCTAGAGGAAAGTAAAAGCTTTCATCATCCATGGTTGACCACTAGTAACATCTTGTTTTTATATACTTCCTAACTTTTCTATGCAGATGTATATGTAAATAAATATTTCCTACAAATAGGATACTTTACCTGCTGTTTTATACCTTGCCTTTGTCACTTGATTATATATATTATGCACATTATTCCATGCCAAATATGAATCTGTTTCATAATTTGTAATTGCTGTGTTGAATTCCATTGTATGGATGTACCATTATCAGTTTTCTATTTCTATCTTTTCTGTACAATACTGCCATGAATATTTTATACTTATATCTTATCATATCTGATTATTTTTCAGAATAAATTTTCAGTAGTAGAAATCCTGGGTCAAAGATACACGTTTCAAATTTTAATTCATACTTTGTGGTTAGTTATGCCAATTTACATTCTAGTCCCATACTATTGGGTGTAAACCCCATTTCTGTTTTTCTAGCTCCATGACTTTTCTCCAAAATTAGAATGCTAAATATTTATCTTTTAAGGTTGTTATAATTAAGTCAGATAATGAATATACATATTTAGCCCAATGTTTAATATCTAATAATTGCATAATAAATGCCAGCCATTGCTTTTAATAACATATGAAATATGTGCTTCCCCAAAGCCTTGTTAATACTGGGTAACATCAGTCTCTTTAATGTTTACTAATGTGGGGAAAATTATGTGTCCTTTCAATTAGAAATTTTGGATGGTGAACATCTTTTCATGTGCTTATTAGACTTTTGTGTTTATTCTTTTCTGAATAGTTTTGCATTTTCTGTGATTACTTTAAAAATTTGCTCTTTTTTTTTTTTTTTTTTTTTTGAGACTGTCTCACTCTATTGCCAAGGCTGGAGTGCAGTGGCATGATCTCAGCTCACTGGAACCTCTGCCTCCCAGGTTCAAGCAATTCTCATGCCTCAGCCTTCTAAGTAGCTGGGATTCCAGGCACGCGCCACCACCCAGGCTAATTTTTGTATTTTTAGTAGAGACGGTTTCACTTTTTGGCCAGGCTGGACTTGAACTCCTGACCTCAAGTGACCTGTCTACCTTGGCCTCCCAAAGTGCTGGGATTACAGGTGTGAGCGACCGTGCCCAGCCAAAAATTTGCCCTTTTTCTTATATTTGAGAATTTTTTATGTGTTAGAGATGTTGACTTCTCATTTGCAAACATTTCCCTATGTTTTATCATTTTTAATTGAATTATATATGGCACTTTTTAACCCTATATATTTAAAACAATACATTTTTAGATAGCTAACTATACCATTTATTTGCTTTATGATTTCTGGCTTTTCCTACCCTAAGAGTTTCAAAATATTTGTATGTAATTTTTTTTGGTTACATTTCTCACAGTAAAATTTCTAATCCTTCTGGAATTTCTTTTGTTTTAGGGTAAGATGGAGTTTTATTTTTTATATACTGTATTTCCAATCAAACCATCTGTTTGATAATTTATCTAGGGCAAATTTCCTTTGATTCTTCTTTTTGTCTGTTTGTTTTATAGAGACAGGGTCTTACTCTGTCCCTCAGGCTGGAGTTTGGTGATGCAATCACCACTCACTGCAGCCTTGAACCTATGGGTTCAAAGATCCTCTCACCTCAGCCTCCCAAGTAGCTGGAACTACAGACACTTGCTGCCACACCCAGCTTACTCTTCTTTTTAATACTGTTCCTGGCCATTATTGCATATTTATTCTAGGAAAACTTTGGAATCGTTCTGTAAAATGTAAAACATTCTGTAAAATGTAAAATGTAAAAAAAAAATTTTTTTTTTTGATCAAGTCATTGGTGCTGAGGCCAGGCGCAGTGGCTCACACCTGTAGTAATCCCATCACTTTGGGAGGCCTGGGCAGGCAAATCGCTTGAGCTCAGGAATTCAAGACCAGCCTGGGCAACATCACTGGTATTTTTTCATACAAAATATATGAAAATTAATGTATGAAATTAGCATATGAAAAAGATATGAAATTAGTATGTGTGTTGGCATGTGTCAGTGGTCCCAGCTACACTGAAGCCTGAGGTGGGAGGATTGCTTGAGCTTGGGAGATGGAGGCTGCAGTGAGCCAAGATCACACCACTGCACTCCAGCAGTGGTGGGTGACAGATCGAGACCTTGTCTCAAAAAATAAAAATAAAAATACCCCTGATGAACAGTCACACTGAGATTTTGATTGAGGTTTTCAGATTTCTTGGAACAAATAGTTAATCTTGAGTGCACTTTAAAAATCTTATGGTTACAGCTGTCGTTTCAGTTGAGCATGTTACTCAGTAAGAACATTCCAGATGGTGTTCATTGGTTCAGAGACCAAAACTTTTTACTCCCAAAACTCAAAGGCATGCCATTTTCTCAATAGCAGGGAAATATATTATTACCTGTACATGTTGTAAAACTTGAATTACTGTTTCAGAAGTGATTCTATTATGTTTATACAAGGAGAGCTCCTTATGTTTTTATGTTTGAAAATTCAAAGTAATTTACTTTAATGAATGTGTAAGGCAGACTCTATTCTAAGATTCTTTCATTACACTACAAAATATAACTCCTTAGTTGCACCCATTTCAGTTCCATCTTAATGTATATTTGTTTCAGTAATGTTCCCCTTCCTCACACACATTTATTTTTTTCTTTCTAAAAAAATTTTTGTTCCTGATGGGACCAAGAGTTCCAACACAAACGTTTAAATAGAGGAAAAAGAAATGAGAGAGTCATTAAGATCTTATAAAAGCAGATGCTTGTTAGTCGGATTTTACAAACTATTAACCCACTTATTACAAACAAGAAATCTGTTTTTCAGGTTTCAGTTTCATAAATTTCTTGGCATAATCTAACATTGTAAAAATTAATATAACCAATCAGTGACTGTTTCAGTGAAACTAAGTATACAATTAGGCTTTACATCATATGTTAAACCTTTCGATAACCATGTAGAAACAGCCTTTTGATGTAAATGGGCTTTTTGTTACCCATTATAGAGGAAATTTAGGTCTTGAGGAGTTAATGTCAAATGGTAGGAAGGAACTAAACTAATATTTTGAGTACCAAATGAACCAAGCACTTTATTTGGTGTTTTCTTGGAGCATATTATTTTGAGTAAGTAAATTATTTCCTGACAGTAAATTTGATCAAGTCATTGGTGCATTGTATATAACCAAATTTGTCACCATATTACCAATTCTTTACTTTTTTTATTCATCTGTGATTGTTTGCTCGGTTTTTATATAGTAGAATACACAAATCCTGCTTTTTATAATTGAATAATCACTTTTCCCTGCTGCGTAAGTTATCTGTAGTTGATTAAAATGAATTATCTCAAGCATTTTTCTTTGTTTTTCAGATTCCTGAATTTGACAACTTGTACCTGGATATGAATGGAATTATACATCAGTGCTCCCATCCTAATGATGATGATGTTCACTTTAGAATTTCAGATGATAAAATCTTTACTGATATTTTTCACTACCTGGAGGTGTTGTTTCGCATTATTAAACCCAGGAAAGTGTTCTTTATGGCTGTTGATGGTGTGGCTCCTCGAGCAAAAATGAACCAGCAGCGTGGGAGGCGTTTTAGGTAAAACATTTATGTTTTATTTTGGAATATTATTTAGCTTAGTAAAAATACATTATTGTAAAGATAATTGATTTAACACAATCTTCTGTTCATGTTTATTTTCTGCGTAAACTCCCCCAGAAATGGAAATATCTCAGTTTCATATTTCACCAGTCAAGTAATGAGTTAGGAACGCAGTGAGATATCCTTTCTCAAAACATATGTTGGAGGTTCTTTTGTTTGTTTCTTTCTTTCTTTGTTGAAACAGAATCTCACTCTTATCACCCAGGCTGGAGTGCAGTGGTACAGTCTTAGCTCACTGTAACCTGTATCTCCCCAGTTCAAGTGATTATCGGTGCCTCAACTTCTAAGTAGCTGGGATTACAGGCAGGCACCACCAGACCCAGCTAATTTTTTTTCTTTTTTTTTTTTTAAGACGGAGTTTTGCTCTTGTCGCCCAGGCTGGAGTGCAATGGCACAATCTTGGCTCATTGCAACCTCCACCTCCCCGGCTCAAGTGATTCTCCTGCCTCAACCTCCTAAGTAGCTGTGATTACAGGCACCTGCCACCACTCCCAGCTGATTTTTGTACTTTTAGTAGAGGCAGAGTTTCACCACGTTGGCCAGGCTGGTCTCGAACTCCTCACCTCAGGTGATCCACCCGCCTCAGCCTCCCAAAGTGCTGGGATTACAGGTGTGAGCCACTGTTCCCAGCCAATTTTTTAATATTTTTAATAGATACAGGATTTCACTCTGTTGGCCAGGCTCATCTTGAACTCCTGACCCTTCAAGTGATCGGCCTACCTTGTCCTCCCTAAGTGCTGGGATTACAGGTGTGAGCCACCATGTCTGACCAGGTTTTGGTGTCACCTGGGGCTCTACGAATACATCACTGTAGTTACAATTCAGCAATTAGGAAGCTACTGCTGCATCTGTTAGTTCCAGAGCTACAGTGCACCTGCTAGATCTGTACTAAAAAAACTGATTCCCTGTTCCTTGCTTATCAGCACCTCCAAAGATACTGAATACTGGGATCTTCTTTACCATTGCTGAAATATACGCAGACACCAGAGCTCCAGTGCCTCAATTGTGATGCAGGCATCACCACACTTCCACCTTCCAAACCTTATATGAAGGCATCTAATTGGCAAAATCTGAGTCATATCAAGATACTTAGCTGCAGGGAAGCCTGAGAACTTTTTAACCTCCCTGGTATCAGAAGGTAAACTAGAAGGAGAATGGAATGGATGTTGAGGGCCAATGCATTATAACCACCACAAGCATTTATTAAATACTGTGCTGGTATTGAGCACTACATTTTTCCTAGAAATTCCCTAGTCAGTTTTCTGCCATTCTCTACAGTAATGACCTTCTCCATTCATAATTCCCTGTTTTACTTGTTTCTAAATCTGCCTTCTTTTATCCCCACGATGCCACTAAAATTTCCTGACAAGATTACAGCTAAATCCAGGCCAGGTGTAGTGGCTCACACCTGTAATCCCAGCACTTTGGGAGACTGAGGTGGGTGGATCACGAGGTCAGGAGTTCAAGATCAGCCTGGCCAAGGGGGTGAAACCCTGTCTCTACTAAAAATACAAAAACAATTAGCCAGGCGTGGTGGTGGGCGCCTGTAATCCCAGCTACTCAGGAGGCTGAGGCAGAGAATTGCTTAAACCCGGAAGGTGGAGGATGCAGTGAGCCGAGATCACACCACTGCACTCCAGCCTGGGCAACAGAGCAAAACTACGCCCAAAAAAAAAAAAAAAAAAAAAAAAAAAGATTATGGCTAAATCCAAAGAATAATTCTTTCTTCAACTTACTTCATTTATCCACAGCATTTAACAATGTTGACCTTTCTTTCTTGAACTTCTCCCTTTCTTTGACCATCATGTAACCACATTCTCTCTTTGTACTTTCTTAGTTTCCTTGTCTTCTTTTGTTTCTCTGCTTTTCTTAAATATTAATGTTTCTTAAGTTTCTGTCCTAGGCTCTGAGTGATTTCATACACTGGCTTTGATTACTGTATCTCTGCTGATGACTCCAAATTTATCTTTCTGGTGGATCGCTTTCTCCTGAGCTCCTATATATCCAAATGCCTACTGAATGTCTCCTTTTGGAAACCCCAGATATACTTCAGGGTTAACATATTTAGAACTGAACTCATCTTCCCCTTAGAACAGCCTGCCCTCTGTGTTTCCTATTTCAATGAATGGCAACACCTGCCACTAGCTACCTAATCCAAAAGTCCCAAGAGTTATTTGGACATCTCGCTTTTCTCATTCCTCACATCCAATCCTCTTTATCCAGTCTCAGATTTGTCACATCTATGTACTTTTCATCTTTAATGCTACGATCTCAGCCTAGACTACCATTATCTTAATCTAGATTACTTCAATAGTCTTACCTTATTCCTGTCCCGTTTTCTTTATTGCATCCAGATTAAACATTATGGCTGTTTAGTTTTCTGCCTCCCCACTAGAATGTAATCTCTGAGAACAGAAATAATTTTTTTTTTTTTTTTTTTTTTTTTTGAGAGTGTTTCTCTGTCTCTATCTCCTTCAGTTCTGCTCTGGTCTTAGTTATTTCTTGTCTTCTGCTGGCTGTTGCTCTGTCTTGCACAGGCTAGAGTGCAGAGGTACGATCTCAGCTCACTACGGCCTCTGCCTCCCAAGTTCAAGCGATTCTCCTGTCTCAGCCTCCCGAGTAGCTGGGACTACAGGCACACACCACCACACCGGGCTGATATTTTTTTGTATTTTTAATAGAGGCGGGGTTTTGCCATGTTGGCCAGGCTGGTCTCAAACTCCTGACCTTAGATGATCCACCTGCCTCGGCCTCCCAAAGTGCTGGGATTACAGGCGTGAGCCACCACACATGGCCAAGAATAATTTCTCTTTTGTTATATCCCAAGACCTTGTGACATAACAACATTGAATAATCGTTTGGTCAGCCAAAGAAGGAAGGGAAGAAAAGAGGAAAGAAGACATTGCAGATAATACAAATGAGTTGGTATCCTCAGAGTTTTTGTTATGTTAAAGAGGTTGGTAGAGAGAGGTTAAACATGAAGAAGAGTTTGTTCATCACAGAAATAGAATTCTGTGGGGCACAGTAGATGAAGCTGGTAGCAAAGCTGTAGAAACTACACTCAAAGTAGAGCTTCCTAACTTGTATGCCATGTGGCATGCTGGTATGCTGCAAAGGGGTTACAGTAGAAGTCAGACAGGTAGTAGGACACCCATATTCAAATACCAGGTTTGCCTGACTGTAAAACTCAGGTTCTTTCTAGGAAATTCTGTTGCCTCAAAAGTGTGATGATTTGGCAGTTGATTTCATTAATGTCATTAGGCTTTCATTTTAAATGTTTTTAGGAAACACAGAGATAGGTATTTCAGTTTTATAATTGTATTTTTATATAATCTTAGGGATAATTTTAATGATCTTAAAAGTATACATTAAATGATTAAGGTCATTAAATGTCATTATCATTAGATGTAGTATATATAAAATGAACATTTAAAGCTATATTTTGCTCTTATTTTTAGAATGAATTTGCTATATATTTGTGACAATAATTATGTTTTTAACATTCTGTTAAAATGTCCTACTTTTGTATTCCTAATCTGAAAAATTCAATTTTTTTTTTTTAAATGAGACAAGGACTCACTTTGTCACACAACCTGGAGTACAATGGGTACAATCATCACTCATTGCAATCTCGAGCTCCCGGGCTCATGGGGTCCTTTTGCCTCAGCCTCCCAATTAGCTGAGACTATAGGCACATGCCCCTGTACCTGACTAATTTTTTTTATTTTTGTAGAGATGGGATCATCCTTTGTTGCCCAAGCTGGTCTTGAGCTCCTGGACTCAATTATTCTTCCCACCTTGGCCTCCCAAAATATTGGGGTTATAGGCGTGAGCCACTGCGCCTGGCCTGAAAAATTCAATTCTTTAAATAAACAAAACAAGCCTGAGGCTCATTTTTATCAATCATAATCATTTCAAAACTTGGGCGTTTTGAACCTTAAAACTGATGAATTGCTATTTTAGTTATAAAGGCACCTACATAGCAGTTTATATAAAGATCTTCACTTTTTTCCGGAAAACTTAAGGTACTTTTTTCCTTTAACCTTTAAGGTCAGCAAAGGAGGCAGAAGACAAAATTAAAAAGGCAATAGAGAAGGGAGAAACTCTTCCTACAGAGGCCAGATTTGATTCCAACTGTATCACACCAGGTAAATTCGCTGGGAGAAAAATTGTGACAGAATTGAAATATAAATTGAAAACTTGGTTTTTAAATGAATTTTACTTTCTGTGCTCTATTTATTTTGGCCTTAGGGTGCCATTTACTGTATTCTCCCACTTACCTTTGCTCGTGAGATGGTTTGGTCACCTTGGTCATAAATACTCCTACAAAAACTGTAGAGATTTTCAAATGTAGATAAATTAGAGCACATATGGACAGGAATCTCCCAGGTGTACAGAATTGCAGACCTTGAAGAAACTTATGTTTGTATATCTTTCTGTCCTAATCCTGCCATTTATTTATGTTAAAACAGACTCAGTGAGGTTGTAGCTTATCAAGTTGATGTAGCTATATTATGGTAGTGAGAGTAAGGAACTGATTCTCCGAGTCCAGTGCACTTACTACTCTGCTTCTCAAAATTGATTAAGATTTTTATGACTTTAAGGAAAATGAATTTATCAGTATTATGTTTAATTTTGTATGCAGCAGCATACTCTATACTTCTACAACCTTTGTCTAACGTCATTATAATTCTTTACTTCGAATGAAAATCTTAAAATCTAACTTTCTTATTAGTTCTTTACTAACAGTGGTAATTTGCTCTTTCTTTAAGTGCATTGGTCACACATTGCTTAGTTTAACAATGGTTTTATGCTGATTGTGGTTTTAGACTGTATTGCTTTTGACTATTTGACTTTCCCAAAATGTAATCATTGTAGACTCCGGTTCCAAATTAGTAATAATTTTTCAGAGTAATAATTTCAGTAGTAATATTATTATTATTATTGACAATCTGATTTAAGCTGCAAGCCTTAAAAAAAAAAAAAAAAAAACTTCAGAATTCAGCAGAAGAAATAGAAGGTTGAGATTCATTAGAGAGTTCAAACTCAGCCCTTATATGAAAATTCCTGAAGCACAGTGCTGAGTCACTAGTAAAATTCCTTGACTTTCCCTATGTGACACTGATTTTATTTAGGGGGACTAGTGACATTAGAAACAGTTGTGATATTTGCAAGGAAAAGGTACATTACTTGTTTTTCAGGATAAGCAAGAGAGCTTTTGACCTTCTTTGGAGATCCTATACCTACCTAGCTATTCCCTGCATGCTCAGATTCAGTTATGTGTTGTCACTGAGAACTTAAATGTTTTTATGTCTTTCTTAGATTAACCTTTTTAAAACTTATTATTTTTAGGAACTGAATTTATGGCCAGGTTACATGAACATCTGAAGTATTTTGTAAATATGAAAATTTCCACAGACAAGTCATGGCAAGGAGTTACCATCTACTTCTCAGGCCATGAGGTTATTATCTTTTTATTTAAAGAGTTTTAAAAAATTATTTAATATTCTCAAGCATACCATATTACTGCATTTTTAAAAACATTTTATTTAGACTCCTGGAGAAGGAGAGCATAAAATCATGGAGTTTATCAGATCCGAGAAAGCAAAGCCAGATCATGATCCAAACACCAGACACTGTCTTTATGGTTTAGATGCTGACTTGGTAGGTATAATTTTTATTATTATAAACTTACGCATAGATAGTTAAATATCTAAGAGATTTCATTTTGTACAGGAAGCTTACTGGCTGTGGCAACAAATATTGGAGACATAATAGTGATTGCTACTTCTATCATTACCAAAGTTCTAAAAATCATTGGAAAATGAGCTTTTTAGCCATAGTTTATGACCAACAGGTCTCTATAATTAGTCTACAGATGTGACTAATCCTAGTGCTGTGAATATTTTGCCGTGAATACTTTGTCGAGGTCAGAGAAGTGGGGCTGCCTTTTTACCCTCAGGCTTAATACATGGTTTTTGATACCTCTTGATCTGAAAACTCCATGTTCCAAGTACCTTTACTAGACTTTTATTTATTATGGAAATTTTCAAGCATAAACAAAAATAGAAAAGGTAATGTAATGAACATCCTATGCCCTTCATCTGACTTAAATAATTTTAAATTTCTACCCCTAATCATCTATCTCTTCTCTCTCCTACCCGCTCCCCGCCCGATTATTAAAGCAAATCCTAAACATTTTATCATTTAATTTATATATGTTTCATAATGTTTCTTTAAAGGATTAGGGTTTTGTTTTTGTTTTTTTTTTAAGAAAAAAATACATAACCACAATGCCATCATCCCACGTAAAACAGAAATTAACAACCCGTTCTTTATATAGAAATAACCAGTTAGTATTATCATTTCCCTGATTGCCTCATAAATGTTTCATTTTGTTCTTGTTTGAATCACATGAAATAAACAGTATGCAAGTACATGGCATTTGATTGGTATGTCTCAACAGACTGTTGACTTACTTGGTAATAGAATACTGTGTGAGAGGCCGGGCATGGTGGCTCATGCCTGTAATCCCAGCTCTTTGGGAGGTCGAGGTGGCCAGATCATCTAAGGTCAGGAGTTCAAGACCAACCTGGCCAACATGGCTAAACCCCATCTCTACTAAAAAATACAAAAATTAGCCGGGCATAGTGGCAGGTACCTGTAATCCCAGCTACTCTGGAGGCTGAGCCAGGGAGAATTGCTTGAACCTGGGAGGTGGAGGTTACAGTGAGCCAAGATCGCGCCACTGCTCCAGCCTGGAGTCCGTGAAAAAAAAAAAAAAAAAAAAAAGAATACTATGTGAGAAAATTAACTGAAAGTGCCCTTTTCAATTTTTTTTTTTTTCCCCCTGACTTTTCATATACTGGGGCTATCCTGGTCTCCAAAAGAGTCCTGCATTCTTTGGTCATAGAAAAGCTGCTACCTCTAATTTCTAACCAGTTCCCCCACGGCAAGTAGAAATATGTGAAACCAAGAGGAGACTTTTGGGATTTGGAGGAATAGGAAGAGGAGAGGGGATAGGGGATAGGGTAATGGTTATGAAAAGCATGTGAGCTAAGGTGAACATATTTTTCTTAGAAAAGTACACTTTATCCCTAGATCATATTTTGTTATTTGTTTATTTAATGTGCTAATTGTTTCTTATTCTTCCTTGTGTAGAATTGTTTTTTAATTGCTTTTGTGAACCTAATATTATTAAAAATAGGAGAACAGAAACGTTTCTTAATCATTTTTCAACAGATTATGCTTGGATTAACAAGTCATGAGGCACATTTTTCTCTCTTAAGAGAAGAAGTTCGATTTGGTGGCAAGAAAACACAACGGTAAATGATATAGCATGTATGTTGGAAGAAAGAAATTATGCCTGGATAGTAATTCTTTAACAGATATATGATTTGTAAATACTTTCTCTCATTCTGTAGGTTGCCTTTTCACTATGTTGATAGTGTCCTTGATGCACAAAAGTTTTTAATTTTTGTTACAATCCAACTCATCTGTTTTTCTTTTTTTTAAGAGTTTTCAAGTTTTAACTTTTATGGTTAGATCTTTGATTCATTTTGAGTTAATTTTAGTGTGTGGTGTAAGGTAAGAGCCCAACTTCATTCTTTTGCATGTGGATATCCAATCTGCCTTGCGCCATTTGTTGAAAAGACCAACCTTAAATGGACTAGATCTCAGCGGTTTCTTATATCTACTGTATGTTATTTAGGACTTCTTAATTCTGAGAATCCTTCCACAGAATACATAATGTAAACCAATTGTTTTGAACTTTAACATGTGTTATCTATTATCATTGCAGTTGTATTTTTTGCTTTGTTACCCTTCATCTTTCATATAAATTGTATGCCTTAATTACAAGACCTATCTTCTGATGATAATTTTGATTTAAGCTTTGTTACGTTTTTAAGCTGGGACCTTAAAAATACAATTCACTATATCTTGATCATCTGACTAATTCCAGGGTATGTGCTCCAGAAGAAACTACATTTCACCTTCTACACTTGTCTTTAATGAGAGAGTATATTGATTATGAGTTTTCAGTATTAAAAGTAAGTATTAATAAAGCCATGGACCAAGGATTTCCGTTGCAGCAATTTTCATTGCATTTGACTTTGTTCTCCATTTTACTGTAGGAAAAGATCACATTTAAATATGATATTGAAAGGATAATAGATGATTGGATTTTGATGGGGTTTCTTGTTGGTAATGATTTTATCCCTCATCTACCTCATTTACATATTAATCATGATGCACTGCCTCTTCTTTATGGAACGTATATTACCATCCTGCCAGAACTTGGGGGTAAGAAGAATTTAATGATCTCTCGAGGATACTTTAATTTAGTACCATCTCTCCCTAAAAATGTGACTTAATTTAGTAGATTATTGCATGCACAGCTAAAATAGAAAAACATTGGGAAATTATTTTGGTCTAAGGTGCTAACCTCTGAGGTTGTCATTTTCAGTGATTCACGGGGAAAGAAAGTGAACAGAGTTAATGAACCTCACTTACTGATAGCTAACTGATCTTTGTCTTTATTTTTTATTATTTATTTATTTTTGGGACGAGGTCTTGCTCTATTGCCCAGGCTAGAGTGCAGTCTCTGCCTTGTGGGTTCAAGCTATGCCTGTGCCTCAGTCTCCTGAGTAGCTGGGATTACAGGCGTGTGTCACCACGCCCGGCTAAGTTCTGTATTTTTAGTGGAGATGGGGTTTTACCATATTGACCAGGCTGGTCTCAAACTTCTGGCCTCAAGTGATCACCTGCCCTGGCTTCCCGAAGTGGTGGGATTACAGGCATGAGCCACCACACCCGGCCTAGTCTTTGCCTTTAATTTCTTAAGAAAGCCAGCGTAATTTATTGGTTTTACCTTTTTCATATTTAAGCATAGAAATTCAATTTTTTTGAATAGATATGCATCTGAGTGTTTAATATGAAGCAGTGATTTTTCAGTGAAAACAGAAAATTGACAAGCATAGTGATACTGAATAAAACAGACCACAGGGTAGCAGGACATCAGTCCTTAAGTTAACATATCAAATTGAATGATCTAGATATATTATAGAACATATTTAATTAATTGTTACCAAATGTTGGATGATTATTCTGTGGAACCTGGAATTTCTTATATTTGGCTTCAATACTTACATGTTGCATATTATAGTAGCATAAAATTCATAGAAACTAGGGCCAGTTTGTATATAGTCCAACACTGTTTTTTCTTGATTAGTACTGTAGAACGTGAACATTCAACATTTTGTAGAAAGAATTTTGTGGAATTGTTTAGAAAAAATGTCAACTTTCAGTACAGATTTAAATTTTTGTTTCTTTTAGGTTATATAAATGAAAGTGGGCATCTCAACTTACCTCGATTTGAGAAATACCTTGTGAAACTATCAGATGTAAGTAACTAGAAATTTTTGTTTTCCTTTCGCAGAGTAGCTATCAGTGGTCAGTCACCAATTACGTAATACCATAAGAAAGGGTTTTATAATTCTATTCCAGTTGCTCATTCAGTATAGACACTTTTACCTAAATTAATTTTATTTTTATTTGCTTTCTATTTGTATTTTTAGAGTCACACATGAGGTTTCCCATATTTACAAAAGAGTAACATTCTCCAATTTCCTATACCCCAGTAGTAGTCACTGTTATAAGTTTGATTTGTATTTTTCTAGATATACTTAAATTATTTTAAAATAAATTTACATATTTTTGTACAGTTTGATCGGGAGCACTTCAGTGAAGTTTTTGTGGACCTAAAATGGTTTGAAAGCAAAGTTGGTAACAAGTACCTCAATGAAGCAGCAGGTGTAGCAGCAGAAGAAGCCAGGAACTACAAGGAAAAGAAAAAATTAAAGGTGTCTATTTTTTTAGGTGTCCTTTCATTATTTTAACTGTAACGGCAAAAATTATATTCTTTGTTTCTCATTTTTCTTCTTATGATTTGGGATTGCCTCGTTTTATTTCTGTTTCTTCCTCTCTATAGGCATTTCAGAAATTGGTTTCTTTTTTTCTATTAGCTTCTATCACTTAACCAGGTCTTCAATAATCAGTTTCTTATTTTTACTGTTGAAGAGGTACATTGTGTTTTATGTTAATAAATGTGGAAAACATTTCTAAACATGAAAGCCCAGAAAATTATTTATCTTTTTTAAAAAATGATTTAAAACATGTTATTAAAAATAGTTATTTAAGGCCAGGTACAGTGGCTCACACCTGTAATCCCAGCGCTTCGGGAGGCAGAGGTGGGTGAATTACCTGAAGTCAGGAGTTTGAGACCAGCCTGACCAACATGGCGAAACCCCATCTCTACTAAAAAAACAAAAATTAGCTGGGTGTGGTGGCGGGCACCTGTAGTCCCAGCTACTTGGGAGGCTGAGGCACAAGAATCGCTTGCACCTGGGAGACAGAGGTTGCAGTGAGCCAAGATCAGGCCACTGCACTCCAGCCTGGCTGATAGAGTGAGACTCTGTCTCAAAAAAAAGGAAAAACAATTATTTAAAACCTGACAGGGAGGATACCATGATCATGAGGGTGGTTTTCCCAGGGCGAGATTTATCCATTGCACTCTGGATGTGCTGATGCCCTGCGATTTCGCCAAATGTGGGAAACTCAACTGCATGACTTATGGTAGTGGAGGACTGCATTCATGCTTTCCCCTGGCAATTTTTTTTTAATTAAAAAAAAAATTGTTATTTTAAAACAATGGACTAGTTTTTAAAATGTGGATATTTATAGCATTTAATGATATGAGATATTAACTAGATCAGTGATTTTTCTCTAGAAAAGATTTACATATAAAATACAATAGTCTAACAGTAATGGCAAAAACCACAATTACTTTTGTGCAAACTTAATAGCACAATATCTAGTAAATGTTATGTGCTTAATAAATGAATAATAGAATCAATTAGAATATGATAGTGCGCTGCAGAACATCTCTGGTAATCTCCAAAGAGTGTCTTGTGTTAACTTGAAAAGTAAACCTCTTGTGAAAATTCCACAGCCTCTCCATAATTATTGGAATCTGTTGTTGTTTTTTTTTTTTTTTTTTTGGAGATAGTGTGTCGCTCTGTCACCCAGGCTGGTGTGCAATGGCACAATCTTGGCTCACTGCAACCTCCACCTCCTGGGTTCAAGCGATTCTCCTGCCTCAGCCTCCTGAGTAGTTGGGATTAGAGGTGTGCACCACCGCCCAGCTAATTTTTGTATTTTTTTTAGTAGAAACGGGTTTTCACTATGTTAGTAATGCTGGTCTCGAACTCCTGACCTTGTGGTCCGCCCACCTCGGCCTCTCTTAAGTGCTGGGATTACAGGTGTGAGCCACCGCGCCCGGCCACGGTTCTGTTGAGTTTCTTACTGTCCTCGCTGTACTGGTTCTATTTAGGTTCAAACCTAATGACTCTTGCTCCAGGAGGGGCAACTGACCTTGTTTTCTGTAGTGTAGTCCTTCTCCCTACTTAGCTCCTCCTCACTGAAACTTGGCAGCAGTCAGTCTGCATTCCACTGGTTTTTGTGTGTGGTGTTTTTTTTTTTTTTTTCTTTCTCCCCAAGAAAACACGTTCTGCAACTTTTTGGGAACCTGTACACACAAAACTTACCTGTCAGTAATCCCTGGTTTCCCCACCACAATTTGGTCCTTAAACTTCACCAGTCTTCCAGCCATATGCAGCTAACTTTAGAGACGCTGTACAGGAATAGCCCAGACACAGGAAGTTTGTAGAGGCCATAAGTTGGATGAAAGAAAGGAAATGGGGATAAGGGAGTAGGAAGAACTAAAGAGAGTCATTGGCAGTAGATAGGAAATCAGAGAATAGAGGAGAGAAAGGATTGAGATCACAAGGGAGGAAAAACAGGTGGGCAGGATATGAAGGATGTTATAACATGGAAGAACTATAGAAAAGCAAATGGGTGCATGAAAGAGAAATAACATCTTACTTTGAAATGTATCTTACCATTCATTTTATGTTGATTTACTATTTATAGGGCCAGGAAAATTCTCTGTGTTGGGCTGCTTTAGACAAAAATGAAGGCGAAATGGTAACTTCTAAGGGTAAGTACGAAGTATGTGTTTTGATATGTTACTACTTTGACAGGATAGTTGTACCTTTTCTTTATTATTACAAATTTTGGGTGGAACGGATTTCTGTGATAGCTTATAAGCATCAACTTGGATATACATTTATCAAATCATTAGGTGGAAAAACAGGCTATTGATAATTGTCAGTCACTATCTTTCTTTTTTCCCAGATAATTTAGAAGATGAGACTGAAGATGATGACCTATTTGAAACTGAGTTTAGACAATATAAAAGAACATATTACATGACGAAGATGGGGGTTGACATAGTATCTGAGTACGTTTTTGCCAATGCTTTTATTTTAAAATAGAAAAAATCAGATTTTACAGTTATTCAGAAAACAACGTAATTTTGATAAAGTAGTAGGAGAAAAAGGATTTTTTGGTTTCATTAATTATTGTGTATGTTTCAACTAATCTGGTTTTGAAGAAGATGGTATTAATTCTGACTTGTATTATATTACTGTGATAAAAATTGCTGAAGAGAAAATGATCCTTATATATAAGGATTTTTGTTACAAAGTTGTTTATAATAGTAAAAAATTAGAAATAATCTAAATGTCCAGTAAGAAGGTTCATCATAATTAGCCACTGCTTCTTCATTACAGTCACCAACTCTGTCACCTCTTCCATCTCCAGAATCTGCAGAACTGCTAAACTGGTACTTGCAGAAAGTTCATAACAATTTGGAAGGATGCTTATAGTACATTATTAAGTACAAATTGTAAAGGAAAGACATGAAATCGTACATACAGTATGCTCTCATTAACACTTTAAAAAACCTAGATACAGAAAAAAGACCGAAACACTACAAAATGTAAAAGTGATGGTTATAAGATGATAAAAATGCTGTTCTTCATTATCCAGATTTTCACTCATGAGGAAATAGTTCTTTTATAATAAAAAAGCAATTATTTTTCATGATAAAAAACATACCTCCCAGAAATACGTAGTTATGGAATTTTTAAGTGAATCCTTTTGCCTTTAGCCCAGGGCTCTGTTTTGTTTTGTTTTGATGATTTGAAGACTTATTTTACCCAAACTTAGAAGATGGCATTTGGTTTTTGACAAAGAAAGGATTAGAGGGAATATTGTTTACATACAGCACTTCTGAATGTGTTCTAGCTTCTGTAACCAAATTTTAAGATCTTCCTGATTTGCTCCTTTGCTTCTCTGAGACATCATCCCATATAAAGAAGATTCCCATCCCTTTCTCCCGTCTCACCCCCACTATTTAAGAGAGTAGTAGTGTCACTATGGAAAGCTTCATTGGGTAAATCTTCAAACCAAAGTTGTGGTACATTCAAAGCTTCATTGGGTAAATCTTCAGACCAAAGGAGTGGTACATTAACTGCGTAAATATGAATAACAGGTTTATCTATTTTGATAGTTGGTTTAGGAAAACTATAATGTAACAAGATGGAATTTTAAAAAATATTTTGGAGTTTTTAGGATTATAATTTTTAGCTATAAATAGCTAATTCATTGATTACATAAATCATCTGAGGTAAAATGTTGTATCAGCAGATATCATGCTCTAAAGACACTGGCATATCTTCAAAAAATATGTTATAATGAAAATATTCTATTTTCAGTGACTTTCTGGCTGATCAAGCTGCATGTTATGTTCAGGCAATACAGTGGATTTTGCACTATTACTATCATGGAGTTCAGTCCTGGAGCTGGTGAGAGAATAAAAACAAAAATAAAGTTTCGTCTTTTTATAATGATTCATTCTACTAGAGTCTTATTTAGGGAGCACTTCCTTTTATTTCTACTTATGGTAATTTTTTTTTTATTTTTTTGAGACAGAATCTCACTCTGTTGCCCAGGCTGGAATGCAGTGGCATGATCTTAGCTCATTGCAGTCTCCGCCTCCTGAGTTCAAGCGATTCTTCTGCCTCAGCCCCCTGAGTAGCTTGGATTACAGGCATGCGCCACCACGACTGGCTAATTTTTATATTTTTATTAGAGATGGTGTTTCTCCTTGTTGGGCAGGCTAGTCTTGAACTCCTGACCTCAGGTGATCCACCCACCTCGGCCTCCCAAAGTGCTAGGATTACAGGCCTGAGTTACTGTGCCTGGCCTCTACTTATGGTAATTTTTTAAAAGTGCCATACAACCAGGTTTAAGTGAAATATAGGTAATGTCTTCTCCAGCCCTAGCAGAAGGCTCATAATAAGAGGTCTTGGTTAATGTAAAGATTTAATGTTCTCTATCAAGGTTAGTCAAATTTAACAAAGTCTTGATAATTATTGGGTTTGAATGATGGTTATGTGAGGGTGTTCATTATATTCTCTTTACATTTTTTGTGTTTGCTAAAGAATTCTCTATCAAGAATAATTACTGAAGTGTTCAGGCGCAGTGGCTCACGCCTCTAATCCCAGCACTTTGGGAGGCCAAGATGGAGAGATCACTTGAGTTCGAGAGTTTGAGACTAGCCTGGCCAACATGGTGAAACCCCATCTCTACTAAAAATACAAAAATTAGCTGGTCATGGTGGTGTGCCTCTGTAGTCCCAGCTACTTGGGAGGCTGAGGCAAGAGAATTGCTTGAACTTGGGAGGTGGAGGCTGCAGTGAGCTGAGCTGAGGTCTCACTGCTGCACTCCAGCCTGGGCAACAGAACGAGACTCTGTCTCTTAAAAAAAAAAAAAAAAAGAATAATCACTGAAGAATGGGCTTACTTGTATGACAGGCTAGAAAGGTGAAGAAGAAAAGAGAAAGGAGTTATTTTCTTTCTTTCTTGTTCTGTCACCGAGGCTACGGTGCAGTGGTTCAGTCTTGGCTCACTGCTGCAACCTCCCCTTCCCGGGTGCAAGCAATTGTCGTGCCTCAGCCTCCCAATTATTTGCTTTTACTGGAAATAGTAATAGTTTTATTTCTCTGTTTCCTATTCTAGCAAATCTCATCTGCATTCTCAGACCATCCACCAAAGTAGAAAAATAAAAAACCAAACAATGATACAGTGAATACTAGAGACTTTTAGGTGATAACACAGCTCCATTTGGTTTGGTTTTGTTCAAAGCACCTGTGCTAGGCTTTGTTTCAGAGCCATCTAGCAATACAAACCAATGCAAAATAACGTGACATTAATTATGGTTTTACTTAATATAAGCCTTTGAAAAAAGTTTTATAATCACCTGATTCTTAGGGCCTCCCTGAGGAGCATCTCATGAAGAAAATCCTTGATTTGCCATTTTTAAAATAGTGTGAATGTAAGTTATTCCTATTGTAACTTACATTAAGGCCAAGCACATAAAAAGCATGCTCTCACATAATCTTCACAACTATTTAAAGTAAACATTGTTTTCTCCCTTTTACAGATGAAGAAATTGAGGCTCTGAAAGGTTAAGAAAGGTTAGGTAATCTTCCTAAAGATTATAAACCCAAGAATCAAGTCAAAGCCTGTCTGATTCCAAAGTCTATCCATTTTCTATTCCACATGGCATTTGGCCTCCTAAACTTCGCCATTTTTTTTGAAATGTATGCCATAATTATGGAATACAAAAATATTTCAATTTTTTTGGTATCCTGAGTCAAACATGACGAGCATATTGAAATTTTTAAAAATTGTTTGTTCAAAGCTTTATAAAATATTTATACCTGTAATTAAGATAAGAAGGTAATAAAAACAGTTAGTGTATGTGATCGATACACGGTTTCATCCTTATCACAAATACAATAATAAGCATGCTAATTCAAAGATAAAAGTTCTTAGATCTGACTGGTAATGGCCAGATAAGCTCAGACTCACTTTTCTTCCTCTCCTTGTGAGCTTTTACCAGAACATTCAACTGTTTCCAGCCTCTTGCTTAAATGATGCAGGCTCAAGTGACCAAACTGAAAGTCTTCTGACTACCTCATTATTTCTGGTTCAATCTATTGATTGGAAGATTCACGATCAACATTTTGAGAATTAAAAAAAGCAAAAAAGCCTTACATTATACATGTTTTTCAATTATCTGATTCATCATTCATCCCAATTTCAGAAATGTGAAACCACACTTTAAAAATTCAGGGAATAGGCCGGTAATCCGCCTGTAATCCCAGCACTTTGGGATGCTGAGGCGGGCGGATCACGAGATCAGGAGATCGAGACCATCCTGGCTAACAAGGTGAAACCCTGTCTCTACTAAAAATATAAAACATTAGCCCAGGGTGGTGGCAGGCGCCTGTAGTCCCAGCTACTTGGGAGGCTGAGGCAAGAGAATGGCGTGAACCTGGGAGGCGGAGCTTGCAGTGAGCCAGGATTGCGCCACTGTGTTCCAGCCTGGGCGACAGGGTGAGACTCCATCCAAAAAAAAAAAAAAAAAAAATTCAGGAAATGTAACATTGTTGCCATCAAATGACCTAAGTTTTCCAACAGTGCTAATTTCTTATATTCAAATGGTAGAATTATGGGCAGTACTAATTTTTCAAAATCATTTTTATATGGTGTTTAAAATATGGGGAAAAGCATATGCTTATTAACCTAATTCATAAAGATGCCAGTTGTTTAAAACTCAGTTTTGTTTTATAGGTATTATCCTTATCATTATGCACCTTTCCTATCTGATATACGCAACATCAGTACACTGAGAATCCATTTTGAACTAGGAAAACCTTTTAAGCCGTTTGAACAGCTTCTTGCTGTACTTCCAGCAGCCAGCAAAAATTTACTTCCTACATGCTACCAGGTGGGCTTTAGAATTAAATGTTTTTATGTCCTTTTTGATATTTAGGACAAACAATAATACTCAAATTTATTTGGTGGCTAAATAGTTATTTTCACTTTTAAACTATAGTATTTGTTTAACAAGTCCCTTGAAAAGTAATTCCTTGATTTAAAGTTAGCTTTGTTTTGAAGATGCAAAGAAACTCTGTAAACCATTCAGAGCCTGGCTTCATTTTCAGCACCTTTTAACAGATTTTCAATGTGTCTCTACACTGAAGAAAGTAGACTAAAACAGACAAAATCTGAAGCTATCTACTTTGTCTAACATTTATAGATTCATTTCTCTTCCTTTTATTCTCTACCTTTTGGTACAGGGATGGTTCTAATAAGTCGTTTATCCCAACAGCAGTACTACCTCAGTATATGTTTGTTTTTAAACATTTTATTTATCAAATTGTGAAATAAAAAGTTTTCTTTGGTTAACATATTTCATGTAACAGGAGGAAAAGATTTCAGGAGTGATAAGGTTACCAAAATTACGCTAAGCCTACTAAGGTGATTCTGAAGTTATACTTTGTATCATTCTTCGAGGGTAACATTCTGTTCTTTTAATTCCATGGTTTGGTCAGGAATTGGAGTAGACACACACACACCTTTTACTTCTTTAGCAGTGTCAGACTCCCTTCTGCATCTTTCTGAACCTTAACCCATTCTTGGTCCTGGCTTCCCTTTCTTCATAAGTTTCTTTGATTCTTTTTTTCCTGCCTTTGGATACAATATGCTTTAATACTCAACCACTCTGGACCAGCATGACCATGCAAGTGTTTTACAGTCTGTTTTATTGTACAGTGCCCATGCCATACTGGTTATTTTAAATATTTTGAGTATTACCCTGAGAGTATACTGCTTTATTTCCTTATGCTTTCTTTGTCTACCTCCATTATAAAGTCATAGAAATGTGTTATTGAACTATTTCTCTTTGATATTAGTGGTGCAGTGGTTCTTGGATTTTAGGATATTTTTCTTGTAAACTATCCTGGATGTTACATTACTTAATAGAATCAGTTCTTCATGACATGAAAGTGAATTGTCAATTTGAGGCTAAAAATAGAGGACTACTAGATGCCTTTTAGGTGAACTGAATGAAGTCTGAATAGAAAAACAATTTAGCTGTGTGTCTTGTAGAGTGAAAAAAACAAGAAAAACTAATTTAAAATGAATTTTGAGAGTAAGGATGACTTTGCTACATAACTAGATTAGTAAAATATGTAAATGAGGAGTAGCAGTGAAATCAGAATTCTTATAGTTGAAAATCAAAATATAGCAAGTATATCGTGACATATCTAAGATACAAAAATTTAGTTTGCTTATAAATTTTAAACTAACATGAGGAAATATTATAAATACATTAACAAAAAGCTATATTGATATTGGTTCTTATATTTCTATTATGCTATTTTATATTTTCACAGCATTTGATGACCAGTGAAGACTCACCAATTATAGAATATTACCCACCTGATTTTAAAACTGACCTAAATGGGAAACAACAGGAATGGGAAGCTGTGGTGTTAATCCCTTTTATTGATGAGGTCAGTGCATGAAATAATCATTACATACACATATATTCTTAATCAGAGACTATTTCACGTAAGTTAATGAGCAATGGATTTTAATCACCATTTATGTTTCGTTAATGAGATTTAACTACCCTCTTCATTATGTGCATAAAAACTTCTAGGTATGCTAATTATAATAAGGCTGAAGTGGCTTTACTATTTTTAGACAAAGTAGTCTTCAGAACAAGGAGTAATATTACCAGAGATAAAGAGATGTTTTATACAGATAAAAGAGTTCGGTTCAAGAAGACATAAAAATCCTAAATATATGGTACCTCATAAGGAGCCTAAAATATATGAAGCAAAAATTATCAGAATTATAGCTAGAAATTTCAACACTTTTCTCCGAGGAATAACACAAGAGGACAAAAATTCAATAAGGATAAAGAAGATTTGAATAATGCTATAAGCCTATTCATAAAATTAAATTAGAAATAGTAACAAAGATCTGGGGAATCCCCATATGTTTTGAAACTGAATAGCACACTTCTAAATAACCTATGATGAAAGAAGAAATTAAAAGAAAAATTAGAAAATATTTTGATCTGAATGATAATTAAAATACAATACATCATAATCGGGGCTGAGCGTGGTAGCACACACCTGTTATCCCAACACTTTGGGAGGCCAAGACGGGAGGATTGCTTTTTTTCCCCTCAGGAAAGAAAAAAAAAAAGGATCCATGGTCGGTAGGATATAACAAAAGCAGGGCTTAAAAGGAAATTTAAGGTTCTAGATGTTTATGCTAAACAAGAAGAAGATTTAAAATAAACTACTTAAGCTTCTGCCTTAAGAAGATAAAAAAAGAAGAGCAAATTAAACTCAAGCAGAATGAGGGAAATAAAAAGAAGCAGAAATTTACAGAAAATGAACAATGGAGAAAAATTAATGACATCAAAAGTTGGTTCTTTGAAAAGATTAATAAAGTCAGTAAATCCTACCTAAACTAATCAAGAAAGTTAAATAAAAGTGAGGAAGACAGACATAAATTGCCAATATTGGGAATGAAAGGAGATATCTTACAGTTCCTACATATAGTAAAAGGATAGTTAAGGAATGTTATGATCAAACTTTATGTCAACAAATTCAGCAATCTAGATGAAGTGAACATATTTCATCACAACTTAGCAAAACTCACAGAAAAAAATATAAAAATCCGAATGGTCTTTTATATATTCTAGGCCCAGATGTCTTCACTTGTGAATTCTAGCAAACATTTAAGAAATAATGCCAATCTTTTTTTGTGTGTGTGTGTGAGATGGAGTCTTGCCCTGTTTCCCAGGCTGGAGTGCAGTGGCACTATCTCCGCTTGCTGCAAGCTCTGCCTCCTGGGTTCACGCCATTCTCCTGCCTCAGCCTCCCGAGTAGCTGGGACTACAGGCGCCCACCACCAAGCCCAGCTAATTTTTTGTACTTTTAGTAGAGACGGGGTTTCACTGTGTTAGCCAGGATAGCCTCGATCTCCTGACCTCATCATCTGTCCGCCTCACCCTCCCAAAGTGCTGGGATTACAGGCGTTAGCCACTGCGCCTGGCCGAAATAATGCCAGTCTTACACAGTTTCAGAAAACAGAAGAAGGGAAATTGCTTCCCAACATTTTATTAGACTAACATATTCCAGATACTCAAATTTGACATGACGTTAAAAGAAATGAAAATTACTGACTGATACTCCTCCTAAAAGTAGATGCAAAAACTCCTAAGAAAGTAACATGAGGCCAGGCACGGTGGCTCATGCCTGTAATCTCAGCACTTTGGGAGGCCGAGGCAGGCGGATCACAAGATCAGGAGATCAAGACCATCCTGGCTAACACAATGAAATCCCGTCTCCACTAAAAATACCAAAAATTAGCAGGGCGTGGTGGTGGGCGCTTGTAGTCCCAGCTTCTTGGGAGGCTGAGGCAGGAGAATTGCTTGAACCCTCAGAGGCAGAGATTGCAGTGAGCAGAGATCCCACCACTGTACTCTAGCCTGGACAACAGAGCCAGACTCCATCTCAAAAACAAACAAACAAAAAACATGAGATAGAATCTGGCAGCGTATAAGAGGGATAATACTCATGACCAAATGGGATTTATTTTAGAAATACAAGGTTACTTTGTGGTGTAATTTACCACATTATCAGTATTCAACATCCAGTTTTTTTTTTCCACCTTCCACTATCTGACCAAGAGTATTTTTTTCATAAACATCCAATTTTAATAGAAATGTTCAACAAACAGGGATAACAAGAAACTTCCTCAACCTTATGATAAAGGCATATAAAAAATCTTACTGCAAACAACATACTTAATAGTAAAAGAAGGACCATTTTCCTGTAAAGTCAAGAATAGGACAAGATATCCATTCTAACCACTTCTTTCTAACGTTTTACTGGAGGTCTAGTGTGTTAAGATGAAGAAAATAAGTAAAATTGTTTTTATTTGCAGGTGGCATTATTTATGTAAAAATTCTAAGGAATCTTCAAAAGAGAAACTGATACGTAACTTTAGCAAGGTTACAGAGTGTAAGATCTGTACAAAAACTAACTGTATTTCCATATACTAGCAACAAACCATTTGAAAATACAAAACTTTTAAGAAGCTTAAAGATTCTGCTTAAAATAGCATTTAAAAATATACACAGCTATAAACTTAACAACATATGTGGAAGCCCTCTACCCTGAAAGAGATGGAAAACCTAAATAGATGAAGGGATTATATCATGTTCATGGATTTGAAGACTTAATATTATCAAGGTGTATGTCCTCCTCAATTTGATATTTAAACTCAATCCCAGTGAAAATCCTAGCAGGTTTTTATGTAATTGAAAATATGATTCTAAAGTTTTTATAAGATTGCAAAGGAGAAAACCAAAACAATCCATATAAAGAACAGTGTTGAAGGACTTACATTACCTGATTTCCAGACTTACCATGAAGCCACATTAATCAAGACAGTGTGTTATTGGTATAGCAATAAGCAAATAGATAAATTGGAACAGAAATAATCCACCCAAATATATGTTTACGCCGTTAATTCATCTTCAATTAAGGCACCAAAGCATTCAGTGAGTAAAGAAAGTGCTTTTCAAAAGTTGATGCTGGAACTACTGGCTGTATTTGAGAATAAAAGTGAAACTTGACCCATACCTCACACCATACACAAAACTTAATTCAAAATATGTCATAGATCTAAATGTATTAATAAAAGCTAAAACTATAAAACTTCTTGAAGCAAACTTAGGAGAAAATTTTGATCAAGATTCTGAAATCACTAACCATAAAAGAAAGAAATTGAGAAAATAGATTTCACCAAAATCAAAATATTTCCACTTATCAAATGGTGCTATTTTAAAAAGAGTAGGTAAGCTACAGACTAAGAGAAAAAAATATATGCAGAACATACACATGCATGGGACCGGTATCCAGAGTATATAACCAACATTTCCAACTCAAAGATATAGAACCCAATTTTTTAAATGGGCAAAATATTTTTGAAGGACCATTTTCACAAAGCAAGATATACAAATAATAAGCAATGGAAAAGTGCTCAATATCATTAGGCATCAGGCAAATATAAATTAAAAACATGATAAGATACCACTATACTATAATTTCGGTTGAATGGAAAAAACTTAAAAGGCAATACCCAATGTTGGCAAGAATGTGGAGCAGTCGGAATTTTTATACACTGCTAATGGGAGTATAAAATGGATAAAAGCACTTTTCGTATCTATACACCTACCCTAGGACCCAGCAGTTCCATTCTTAGATATTTACCAAGAGGAGGGTAAAGTATGTTTAAAAAATGTTTTTTGTACAAGACTATTCATAATAACTAAACTGGAAACCACCCAATACCAGTCAACAGGACAATAGATAAGTAAATTGTGGTACAGATTAAGCATCCCTAATCTGAAAATCAGAAATTTGAAATGCTCCAAAAATTAGAAATTTTGAGCATCAACCTGATGCTGCAAATGGAAAATCTACACCTGGCGTCATGGGATGGGTTGCAGTCAAAATGCAGGTACACAACACACAGCTTAATTGCATCCCAAGGGATAGAAGACCCTCCCAGCCCTCTTCAGCTGCAATATACCTTTTCTGCACACACCCAGATTCCCCCACCTAAGCACACCCACAAAGGGTAATAAAATGGCACATGTGTAGGCCAGATGCACCAATGGGAGGTTCCCCACAATGCCCCAAATGGGGCCCAGGCCTATGTGCATTACTCACTGTGTTATTTTGCTTATTCTTTGTTCTGGCGTGAAGATAGTGTTGACAGTGTCAAAAAGGACTGCAGCTACCCCTATGGGTGTTGGTATCAAGAAAAATAGGAAGCATTTATGTTTTCCTGTAGCATAGAAAGTCAAGTTGTTGGAGAAACTTGACAACGGTGTAAGTGTGAACTGTCTTTTAGAAGAGTATGATATTACAATGTCCATATATGACCTGAAGAAACAGAAGGGTGAGCTGTTAACATTCTGTGCTGAAAGTGATGAGCAGAAGTTAATGAAAAAGAGAATACTGCATAAAGCTACAAATGAGGATATCAATCATGTATTGAAGCACTACATTTGTCAGCACTGCTGTGAATACATGCCATTTAATGGCAGGCTGATAATGAAACAAACAGATCTATCACAGTGAACTGGAAATTGGAGAGAAGTGTGAACATTCAACATACTGGTTGCAAAAGTTTAAAAAAAGACGTAACACTCTCGTCAGTGTACATATACTTTAAAAAACTGGAATGATACAGAGAAGATTAGCATGGCCCTTGCGCAAGCATGACATACAAATTCATGAAGCATTCCATACTAAAAAATAGTAATAATAAAAATGAAAAAGTAGGCTGGGCACAGTGCCTCATGCCTGTAATGCCAGCACTTTGGGAGGCCGAGTTGGGCAGATCACTTGAGGTCAGGAGTTCAAGACCAGCCTGGCCAACATGGTGAAACCCCGACCGTACTAAAAATACAAAAATTAGCCCTGTTGGTGGTTCACGCCTGTAGTCCCAGCTACTCAGGAGGCTGAGGCATGGCAATTACTTGAATCCAGGAGATGGAGGTTGCAGTGAGCCGAGATTGTGCCACTGCACTCTAGCCTGGGTGATAGAGTGAGACTCCATCTCAAAAATAAATAAATTTAAAAAGTCACAGCACTGAACTTGTAAATAGGATGATAAAGCACCTGCTTATCATGAAGCAAGAGAAATTCATTGACACGTTTGCCACGGTCTTTGCTAGTGATGTCAGAACAAGTCTGTAATGCTGATGAAACATCACCGTTTGGGCATTTTTGCCCTAGAAAGACACTGACTGCGGCTGATGAAACAGCCCTTCCAAGAATTAAAGATGCCAAGGACCAAATAACTGTGCTGGGTTATGCTTATGCAGCAGGCATGCATAAGTGTAAACTTGCTGTGATAGGCAAAAGCTTGCGTTCTCACTGTTTTCAAGGTGTTAATTTAATACCAATCCATTATTATGCTGATAAAAAGGCATGGATCACCAGGGACATCTTTTCAGATTGATTTCACAAACATTTTGTACCAGCAGCTTGTGCTCACTGCAGGGAAGCTGACTGGATGATGACTGCAAGATTTTGTTATATCTTGACAACTGTTCTGCTCATCCTCCAGCTGAAATTCTCATCAAAAATAATGTTTATGGCTCACGCCTGTAATCTCAACACTTTGGGAGGATTGCCTGAGCCCAGGAATTCAAGCCCACCCTGGGCAACATAGCAAGACCCAACCTCTACCCCTCCAAAAAAAATTAACTGGATATTGTGGTGTATGCCTGTATTCCCAACTGCCTGGGAGGCTGAAGTGAGAGGATCGCTTGAGCCCAGGAGGTCGAGGCTGCAGTGAGCCATGATTGCCTCACTGCACTCCAGCGTGGATGTCAGAGCAAATCCCTGTCTCAAAACATGAACAAAAATGTTTATGCCTTTTTGCCATGTACTTTTCCCAAATATGACTTTATTAATTCAGTCATGTCACCAGTCATATCCAAAAAATTATTGCCAAGACCAGTGTCAAGAGGTTTTTGTCCTATGTTTTTTTCTAGTAGTTTTATAGTTTAAGGTCTTAATGTTTAGGTTTTTAATCCATTTTGAGTTGATTTTGTTTATGGTAAGATAAAAGTCCAATTTTATTCTTCTGCATATGGATGTTCAGTTGTCCCAACACCATTTATTGAAGAGGCAATCCTTGCCCTGTTGTGTGTTCTTGGCAACCTTGTCAAAAATCAGACGGCTATAAATTATGGATTTATTTCTGGGCTATTTTGTTCCATTGGTCTGTATGTCTTATTGAAAATACTTTTATGTATGTTTACCTTTTGCATTTTCTCTTTTGTAATTTGCTTGTTTTATTCTTTCCCCCATTTTTCTTTCTTTTTTTCTTTTGATTTTTAGCTACTTTGTATATTAGAAATAGTTTTCCCCAGTATCACATCTGTCTCTTGATTTGTATATGGCATTTTCTGTCATATACATTATCTTTTACTTAAAAAATGTCTTTCCCCTTAAGGCTGTTAGGTTTTTTCCTGTCTTCCTTAAATAAAAGTTTATCACACTAAATTATCAATACCACCTAGATTTTCTTCTGATACATTTATTATTTTGTTATTGGGATACTTGTTTTTATATATGGTAGGAAGTTCAGAATTGTATGTGCTTTTTTTCCAGCTGGATAGCTAGTTAGGACATTATTATTTAAATACCTAAAGGACTGTGTTTTGGCATAGATTTGGGTCTATTATTGAACTCTATCTATTCTGTTCTTCTGGTCTGTGGGTCTCTTGTAGTGTCAGTACTAGTGTTTTGATTACAGTAGCTTTATCAAAAGTGATAGGATCTGGTAAGACAAGTCCCAGGTTACTTTTTACTGTTCATACATTCATTCTTCTATATTAACACTGGTATCTTACCCTTTTTTAAAAAAAAAAAAGATATTTTAAATCATTGATATCCTGATTGGAATTACTTTAAATGTATAAGTTAATTTGGAAAGATGGACGGTGCTATACTACTACAGAATTTGTAAAGAGATTAATGCTCTGTGAATTATGATATAATAATTATAATAGATTCACACTTAAAATTTTATTTTCTGCTGCCTTGCTTATTTGCACGTTAGTGGCTACTGTTGGGTAATAGCTTCAGAGGACTTTGCAGTGGCAGCGGTATTCTAGGGCCCTTTGAAACAACAAATAGCATATTTTTCATGTAATAAAATGGAAGAGTTTCATTAGTTAAGATTTTGTTTTTCAAGAGCACAAATGGTTATACTGTATATGGAGGAAAAAGACTTACTCTGTTTGTTGAGATTACAGAATTTTTATACTTTTAACCCTTCTCGTCAATCCTTATATTCAGAAGCGATTATTGGAAGCCATGGAGACATGTAACCACTCCCTCAAAAAAGAAGAGAGGAAAAGAAACCAACATAGTGAGTGCCTAATGTGCTGGTATGATAGAGACACAGAGTTTATCTATCCTTCTCCATGGCCGGAAAAGTTCCCTGCCATAGAACGGTGTTGTACAAGGTAATGTTACTTGGTAATTTTTCAACAACAAAAGAGTCCTCCTAACACAAGGGTGCGAGAAGTAGGGGAGAGGGAGCTTTGAATATCTGTTTGGAGAATTAGCAAATAGTCTATGACAGTTATAGTCAATTGATAATCAGTGAGTCACATCTAACTTGCCAAGGATCTAAGGATCTCTCACACTTGTGTCTATAATTCTCTACTTTGGTCAGATTCTGCATTTCTCTTTCCTTCTTCTATTAAAAGCGTTTGAATTTTTTCTCTCTAATGTATATCCCTGCATTTTGTCTCCCTCGAATGGATATGTGAATTTTTGTTTTCATTGTCAATGTCTCTGCTCCCAGCATTATTTGATAATGCTGTGACATTGATGATTATACCCCCCAGCCACCCAACTAGAAAGACGGAAATAAGAAATAAAGAGCTCCATTTTTTTCTCTTCATTACTTCCTTGTTTTTTCTTATCTCTCACCTTCCCTGCAGATAATCTACCTAGATGGCAATTCAGTGGCAAATAAAGTAAACATCTCTCAGTTACAACTTTTCCTTTTGTTAAAGGAAAGAGAAGGATAAAATAGGCATTATAAAATGTTTATTTTCCATCCTGGGTTTTGGAACATGGAGGATATAGAGATTTGTGTTACGTGTCATATTTTCTCTTAAAACTTATATATACAGTTTTGTTTTAGATTAATGGGGAAGATCTCAACTTAGTAATCTACAGGGATGATTGTGTCTAGACCAATAACAGTGGAGAGGCTGGTTATCTGCTTGTGTTTTCTTCATCTGGAACTTATTGTCATTCTCTTCTTTAAAAACAAGGATGAACCTTATGAAATATTCAAGGGAAAGTTTAAAAACTGTAATTGTTTGTAATGTATTAATTTTAAATTAAATACCTTGATTTATTTTCTAGGTATAAAATAATATCGTTAGATGCTTGGCGTGTAGACATAAACAAAAACAAAATAACCAGAGTTGACCAGAAGGCATTATATTTCTGTGGATTTCCTACTCTGAAACACATCAAACACAAAGTCAGTGGCTATTTAATTCAGAATTTTTTCACTTCTATGAAGTGTGAAGTGATTGTGGAGAAAGAATTAAAATTAAATTCTTTGAATTTTTTTAAAGTTTTTTTTGAAGAAAAGTGGCGTTCAAGTATTCCAGCAAAGCAGTCGTGGAGAAAACATGATGTTGGAAATCTTAGTGGATGCAGAATCAGATGAACTTGTAAGTATTTTATTTATCATTCATTTATTAGATGCTTATAATGTATTAAACTATAACTGCTGAGATGTTTATCAAGGAGGTATTATATGTTATAACTCTAGAAATTTGGAGCCTAAATAAGGATAAAGCAAAGAAACATTCATACAAATTAGATAATAGTTCAAGAACCTGTATCATTGTGACACAATGAATATGCAAATTTTCTAGAAATTTTAAAAAGGAGACAAGCTATGTAAACCAAAAGTTAAGTATAGACTTGTAAATGAGAATAGGCTTGAGCTGAGTGGTGAAAAAACAGGTTAGGACAAAGAAAAGGAGGGGAAGGCATTCTAGTAGAAAGAAATACCATGAGCCAGTCATTTCAGTAAAAAATGTGATATATTATTGTTTTTAACCTTTTTGTGTGTCTGAACTATTTCTTAACACTTATTTTTTTCTTTAGAATAAATGTGATGTATTTGAGTAGAAGGAATAAATAAGCCTTATTGAAGCCGAGGATTTGTGTTTGGAAATAGTAGAAGATAAGGGTGAAAAATCAGATTGAGGCTAGATTATGGAGAACCTTGAGTACCAAGCTAAGGCGTTTGGACTTATTTTCCCATGACCATTATCTTGAAATTGGTATTTTCATAAAGATTAATTTGGTGGCAGTATAATAAACTAAATTGCACAAAAGAGAAATTGAAGAAAGCGGGAAAGCTTGTAGATATAGCATCAGGTGATAGAGACATAAACTGTGGAAGTAGCGATAGATCTAGATGAACAATATGAAGTAAAACTGATAGGTTTCATTATTTGATCAAATACAGGGGGTGAAAAGAGAAACTATTAATAGTAAATGTGACTGAGATATCCCTGCTAATTAACTTAAAAAACAAAAAACTGTAGTTTACTGGACTAGTTAAAAGTTAAAACAGGGGAGTTGATGGTTTAGGGGGACGAAACGATGAATAATGATGGAATTTTAAGGTGACACTAGGATGTTTAACTGGAACTGCCTTGCCAGCCTTTCTTAACCAGTGTTCCACAAGATGTATAAGCCTTAATGCCCTAAGTCATTCATTGCAAGCAATACATTAACTTCTGTGCTTGTAGAACAGTAGGAGCTATGTACCATCCTTGAGAGAATAGAGAAAGTAGACATATTTTGTGTTCTCTGATTCAGGTGAAAAACCTGTTTAGAAAGGCTGTTTACGGCTGGACACGGTGGCTTATGTCTGTAATCCCAGCACTTTGGGAGGCTGAGGCGGGCAGATCATCTGAGATGAGGAATTGAAGACAAGCCTGACCAACATGGTGAAACCCCGTCTCTACTGAAAATACAAAAATTAGCCGGGCGTGGTGGTGGGCGCCTGTAATCCCAGCTTCTTGGGAGGCTGAGGCAGGAGAATTGCTTGAACCCAGGAGGTGGAGGTTGCAGTGAGCCAAAATTGCGCCATTGCACTCCAGCCTGGGTGACGAGAGCAAAACTCCATCTCAAAAAAGAAAAAAGAAAGGCTGTTTATGTACAGTTAAATACCTGGAGATAGAGCTTAGAGAGAGATAAGGATATTCAAGTTGTCGACAGAGAATTGATCACTTTGAGGTTCATTTCCCTGAAGACAAGGTACATTGAGTGTTCATGGTCTCAGCATAAAGAAATACCCACAGTTATAAATGGTGGTGAGGGAGCTGATAGAAATACAGAGGTAAGAAAGAATGATTCCAAAGTTAAATAGTACCACAGAAACATAGAGCAGAGGATGTAGGCTGCATAAATCTGAAGAAGAATAAAAACTCAAATAAGATCTGTGAATTTGTCTATTAGAACATCAATGTTGATCTTTGAAAATTCCATTTCAGTAGATTGGTGGAAGCAGAATTTCAGTTCCTGAGAACTAGGCTAAGATTGGGTAGACGGGAAGTAAAGGTATCAAGTATTAAGCCCTTGGTCAATAAGTTATTTATTTATTTGTTTGTTTGTTTGTTTGTTTGTTTGATGGAGTCTCACTCTGTTGCCTAGGCTAGAGTGCAGTGGCACAATCTTGGCTCACTGCAACCTCCGCCTCCCGGGTTCAAGCTATTCTCCTGCATCAGCCTCCCGAGTAGCTGGGATTACAGGCACCCCCCCACCACGCCTGACTAATTTTTGTAGTTTTAGTAGAGTCAGGGTTTCACAACGTTGGCCAAGCTGGTCTCGAGCTCCCAACCTCAGGTAATCCACCTGCCTGGGCCTCCCAAAGTGCTGGGATGACAGGTGTGAGCCACCATGCCTGACCAAGAAGTTTATCATTGAAAGGGATGCCAGAAGCATAACTATAAATAAGAGAAGATGCAGCCGATGAATCCGATGAATCAAAATCCCTACCAAAGAAATGAGGGAGAGCTAATGGAGAAAGGAGGTTTTAAAGGCAGTGTAGAGGGAAAGGATGTTTATCATGACAGGACCCCATGTGACTTAATAAGGAATTTCACCTGGGGCTTAAATAAAAGGATTAATCTGGGAAAGGAAGACAACTGTTTCTTCAAAAACTAAAGGAAAGAGTGGGAGAATGAAATTAGAATTAGATATATAGAAGGGAAAAGGATAACTGAGGGAGTCTAGTTTTAATGTTAAAACTGTTTTGTTTATCAGAATATGTGTTCTATTGTTTTGTATGTTCAAAGTTAGAAATGTCTAAATATCAAAATAAAAGTTACCCCAAAAAAGCCTAAAAATAGTTATCTGTAATTATTAAAATAAATTATTAATAATGATTAAGGATAATAAACAGAAAAAAGATGAATGAACATTTGTATTTAAACTTCAGTTTCTATTGCAAAATTATTGCTGTCCAGCCAATATGGTTAAATTGAATTGGATAATATAGTTTCTTTTTTTCTTTTTTCTTTTTTTTTTTTTTTTTTTTGAGATGGAGTCTCGCTCTGTCGCCCAGGCTGGAGTACAGTGGCGCGATCTCGGCTCACTGCAAGCTCCACCTCCC